GTACCTACTAAGGCATACCAAGTTCTAGAAGAATAACGTGGTGAAGATAGGCCTTTAGGCAAAGCACATGCCTTTTTTGGGCCCAACTATGAGTCAAGCAACCTACCAATCCCTTAGGAAACCATGCCATAAATAGCAAAATCTTATGACCAAGGAAACGTAGTTCCAAAAATAAACTATACTTATATTTCAGTAAATCAAAATTTTATTTGTCAATCGCTTTCGAATCAAACGAGTTAACTATCAACTAGCTATTGATCAAGTGATATTTCTCTCTACAAACCTCCATTCCCTAATAAAATACAAATAAAAAACCAAACGTGCAAAATCCCCCTCCATTACCAAAATGGAGGTGCACTTTCACAACTTTAGTTGGTCATAAAATATGAATCCCACTTTCTTTATGCATTTGAATAATGAATTATCAGTTTCTGAGCACTACGAGCTCTGAAAGACTTTTTATAAAAAAATGGGGGAAAAATTGGTTTTCAAGTCAACACTAGAGAGGCCATGAGAATAGATGGTGCTACTCTCATATATTTGTAAGGAAATCCAAGTACACTATTAAGCTTGTTAAATTGAATCCTCTAGGCATCAAACAAGTAGCTCAGCCTAAAAAAGTGAAAAATGTAAGATAGGATCAATAATGTTATGAAGATTCAAGAATTGAGTGAAAAAAGCTGTTACAATAAGGTGTCTAAATATTCACTGATTCTAGTAAAATTATGCTCTGGATACAGTTTTGTACCGTCTAGACCACCGGAAGACTCGATATCGAAGTAAGTTTGATCTCCCTTTACAAATGCAGAATATATAAAAATCATCTCCATGTTGTCAGGATACGGAGTCTCTGCAACGCAACAAGGCACATTTTATTGGTATCAGACTAGGAAAGAAAATGAAGAACTAATGTTAACTGCAAAATTATTCATGGTACAAATAGTTAACAGAAAAAGCTCATCAAAGCTCTAGTTATACAAATTAAACTCTGCTGATAACGAAAAAGAGCAGCAGAGCTATATATTAAGATTTCAATCACAACAAGAGAGACGACCTAATAATCAATGAGAACAAAATGACTGCCACATCAGCAGACAAGATGGCGGCCATGTCAGCAGGCCATCCAGCTGAACATCATACATTCAAACAGATCATGGTTGAAGATTGTTGGTGCAAAATCATTATAACTAATCTGTAAAAAATTCTAACCAACTTCAGCCATATATTGTGTTGTTCTTGTAAATGCTGTTTAATAAACCAACGAGAAAACTTCTTCTCTGAAACATAAATTTTTTTCTTGTACTTTTAAAACTTCAATATTTTTGTTTTTCCTACTGGATTCGTCTATTTTTCATGCTATCAAAGCTTCAACCTAAGGGAATTTCTCTGATCCAAATCCAAGTTATATCCAAACAAAAATTTCAATTGTAAAGACTCTACCAAGATTAATCACGGTTGATTGTGAATTGGAAATGGTTCACAAACGTTACTGCCATTAACACAAACCTAACACAAACCTGTTTAATGGCTTTAAAAATAGATCTCTGTGTCTTGTACACGTTATATTTCTCATAGTGAAGAACATATATCTCTCTTGGACGTACGAAAGAATTTGTTGGACCACATCAATCTTGTGCATACATGTTTCTTTCATGTCCATCTATTCTTTCCTCTGTAAATTCTTGTGTAGTGTAATTTCTTTTTAATCTCACTTTGCAACTATAAATCCCAAAACAAACTAATAATAAAAAAAGAATAAAGTGACAGGCACATTAGCAGACAACTTTGCTGGCCATGTTAGCCAGGCGTGTTGCTAAGCTTAGGACCTTGTGCTGCTAGGGTTTCTAGAGCCTTGAGCTCCCAAACGATGACTCAAAATATAGCTGTTACACCGAAACTGGGAGCAAAGAACTGCTTAGCTTTCAATTCGCCTCTAACCATCAAATGAGATGTGAATAACCTGTCCTTTCTTTGAAACAAAGGGTTCTTCTAGTTCTTTAGGTGCTTAAAACAATTCTATTTTCTCCATATTATTATATATCTAGAGTCAATAATTTTATATGAAGGCCTCCCAAAGGAATGAATGCGGGCAAAGGTTTCCTACATAAAACTTGACGTGTATAGAAATCACATTGAGATCTTGAACCAACTCCAACCACAACCGCAATACTTAGGTTTTGGCCATGAAATGCACTTTAATCTCAACTATTTTCTTTCCTCTATTTTTCTTTTTTGTCCCTATTTTCAACAGAAATGTCATATATGCCTCATGATGGCAACCTAGCAAACATTTTGAATACCCAAGTAGTATAAACTAGAAAAATACCTTTAATTTTCTTAAGAAGCTCTTGTTCTGATACAAATACCTTCTCCAGCTTCTTCCCAATCTTACTCTCCCAAAGCTCAACAAGTTCATTCATTGAGTACACATTTCCGGTCGGCCTCAAATACAACACCTTATTCAACGTTTGTGGATCATCCAATGTCCTGATAGTGAACTCAGCAACATCACTTTCCTTCACAAAAACACCTGCAGACAAACCACACCACTAAACAGCAGTAGCAAATCAAAAAATACATCAATGACAGCACAAATGCTCAATATTTCAACAGACCTTTAGTATTCCCGTCGCCAAAAATTGTAACCTTGTCCCTCGGAGGGACCTTGAGGCCTGTCTGAACAAGCTGAGGAAGCAAATAACTCATGTAGAAATTGCACGAAATGTAAGTGTAGGGAATACCATGAGCTTCCACAAAACGCCTAATCTCAGATTTCTGCTTATAAAAGTTGTAGTCCATGTCTGATATTCTAGTCTTATCTGGGTCCAACCCAAATTCTGAGGGAATAAACCCATCACCATCCACAAATACATAAATTTCACTAAAAACATAAAGTGGGCAATTTAAAAAAAGAAAAAGAAAAAGGAAATTATACAATATAAGCCAAATTCTCAGGAAATGAACCTCTGCAACCCAGCACCAGTTCATAAATTTCACTAAAAAGCAGAAACTGGGTAGTTTAAAGAAAATGAAATTGTTTCCAAATAACAAACCTTGATGAAGCCAGATTTTTTGATCACTTGGACATGGAGCTTCTGAAGGAGGACTTGTTTGGACGAAACAGCACAAATCACCACATCCACTTGCTTCACTGCTGCCATAAGGCTTTCTTCGTCTTCAAGTGAACCCTGAAACGAGAGAAGGAATTAGTTGAAAAAGTTTCAGTACATTTTAGCAGAGAAATGATGAGAACCAGAGAGAGAGAGAGAGACTTGGAGGAGTGTTACGCCGGCATTGGAGAGAGAGTGAAGCTCGTGGGACTTGTGAGGGTCATAGAAGGAAGAGGGCCTGACGAGAGCAAATGCGGGGTGAGAAAATTGGAGGGTGTCTTTGGCCAAATGGTGACCAAGAAAGATTTCCCGTCACTCCAATTATCAATACCCTGCTCTTCTCCATTTCTCAAACACTCTCAAATCCCAAAAAGAAAAAGTAAAAATCTCTCTCAAATTCAGTTTTTTTGTTGTTGCTAACTTCTTACGTTTCTTGGATCAATCATCAACGTGTTTTTACGAACTCCATTGGATTAGACCACATTGGATGGATGAGATTATTTCTGACATATACATTTGTTTTCTTTTTCTAAAACATCGAATGCTTCTTGGAAATACAATTATACAACAATGTCATACCCATATGCAATTAAATTGTACTTATTTATAAGTCCGAAATGGGGTTCAATGAGATGCTAATTCTCATCTAACACATGTTGTTTGAATTCTCATTTAGAATAGTTCGTATATCAATGTCATATGATTTTTGTTACCTTCAATTGATTTCAAAATAGAGCTGCAAACTTCTCTTCGTTGTCTCGTTTGACTGTTTTGTATCCAATTTTTCATCTGCATAGAATACATCGCGGACTGATATATCTCATAGCAAAAAAGAAGGGTTGTCAAGTGCAATGAGAAAAAAAGGTTGTAATTGGGTTTAGTTCATACTACAAAATTCAACATTCTTTGATTCACAAAATGTTGGCAGATCCCTATTTTTTGTTGTTGTATTTATGGGTTTAACCCGTATTATTTGTTATAAATAAAATCCATTTTGTTATTCTTGCCCAATGGGCTAATAGCTGAAAATCATTAGAATGGGAGGCATCGGAAAGAATTTAAATTTTCATTCCCCAATATCACTTGTATAAATAAAATAATTGAAGAAATAACTCTAGCCCAATGGGCTAAAGTGGTATTTTAGCCCTAAACCCTAAAATGAATGACAAAAATGTATATTTATAAGGTATAGCTGCACGGCTATACTTTATGAATACATTCGAATATTTTGAACGTATAGCCGAACGGCTAGACTTTTTTTTTTAGGTGAGACCCAAGGGTATCCACCGCCGACAGTAGTGACTAATCCCTTTCGCCGCGGGAGCTCTCCCAATGGAGGTAAACGGCTGGCCACAAAATGCGCTCCATTCCCATGGGCGGGGATCGAACGGCTAGACTCTTTAAATATTAATATATTCGAATATTTTCAGAGTATAGCCGCGCGGCTATACTTTTTAAATATTAACACGTAGCTTGCACTAGCAGTCACAGCCATTTCGCTTCTCTATCAAACTCAAGGCTATACTCTGAAAATATTAACACGAAGCTTGCACTAGCAGTCACAGCCATTTCGCTTCTCTATCAAACTCAAGCTTCGATTGGTTTTCTTCAGTTTCGGCTGCTCCTCTGGGTTCGGCACCGAAAAAAGACCCAACCCGCCTAGGAGGCCCGCCCAGCCGCCTAGCCGCCTAGCCCTCGCCTAGTCGTCTAGCGCCCGCCTAGCCCAACATTGCTGGCTTGTTGCAGATTTTGACAAAGAAAAATCTGATAGCGGAGACAGGGTCGAGTTCCAGAGCCATAGAATTGGACCATATTCAGGAGGAGATTGAGGAGTTGTCTGCCGTTCCTGAAGCGAAGGAAAAGAAGAAGAGCAGAAATGCTTTGAGGAAGGGGTCGGAAGGTGAAGAGGTCAGAGCTATGCAGGTCTGCTTGCTTTTGAAAGGCGAGTTTTGATTTTTTAGAGTCTATCATTCATTTCTTGTGTTTTGTTTATGATTTAGTGTTGTCTTTGAATTATAAAATGGTACTTTTAAATTTGGAAAATTGAAAACCGAGCAGCATACAGTTTATTACAACTTACAAGGGGGTATTAACTTTCTTTTTAGTATAGAAAGTTGATAACTTTTGTTTTTTTTCTTTTTCTGTAACTGGGTTTGTGTGGTTCTTTCTTTTTCTAGTGTTCGCTTCGTTTTTGGATGTAATATTTGTGATTTCGACTTGTTCTAATATAATGTTCCTGTTATCTGACAGGAAGCATTGCAAAAACTAGGATTTTACTCGGGTGAGGAAGACATGGAGTTTTCCAGCTTCTCAAGCGGGACTGAACGTGCTGTCAAGACTTGGCAAGTAAGTTTCAATTATCACTAGATGTTACGATGTATAATGCATGAAGAGTAAAATTTCAGAATCATCAAGTTGAACAAAAATTTCACGACGCGAAATATATATGTTAGTCAACTTGTAATTTCTTGTTTGACAGGCCTCCTTAGACGCCCCTCAAGATGGCATAGTGACTGCAGAACTTCTTGAACAATTATAAATGGTGGCACAAATTGAGGGTCTGGATAACAAAGGGAGTACTCTGACTGCTACACAAAAGGTATAGCCTTCTGACAACATACCAATATATCATTCCTCACTTGGAACTAATCATAATGGTTTGGTAAGTCATTACTTGCATTCCTCAAGAGGAGCCAAAAACTCATTTGATGGTTCAATTTGAAGTGAACTAAGCCTTCATTTTCTTCAACTAGATTGTAAAGAATTGTAGCAAACAGTACTAAGTACCTGTTGTAAAATGGCTCACATTTACAATGCAAGTGTCGCAGGAAGCGACCGGTCGCAAGGGAATAGCGACCGGTCGTTTAGAAGCAGATTCGAAGTCTTTAGAAAAATCGACGAGCGACCGGTCGCAAGGAGCTGGCGACCGGTCGCAGGAAGAAAATCTGAAATGCTGAAGACTCTGTGTAAAAGCGACCGGTCGCCCAGTGCTTGCGACCGGTCGCCCAGAGGTGCTGTTTCTGTTTGTTCCTCGAGTTTCCAACTCTATTCTATTTTCAATGGCTATCG